TATCAACGTCGTCGACAGAGAAGTCAGGACCCGTCGCGCGGACTGCTCAGAACGACGACGATAACTCATCCACACGTCGCGAATACCGCTTTTCGGAAGACGTACTCGAACGTGTTCCCCGATAATTTCAGAAGCGCCGTGCACTAAGTCGGCGTTCCATCGACACGAGATCCTCTCCATGTCGCTCTGCGTTTACTGGCGCCAACGTCACCACAACCACTGATAGTAGTCGTAGGTGATCTGAAGACAGCGGCCGCGGAACATGTCTGTGGCCGTTTTGACTGCCATTGCGGTATTCATCATCGCCGTGTTTCGTATGCTCAATGTGTCCAGCCAACCTCAAAAACCATCCTTCTTTTGCAGGGACAAACAGTTCCTCAACAGAGTCCTCAAATTCGCACCCCAACTTGAGGATCCGTAAGTGCACACTACCAATTCAAACTTTTATTGTCATTGCTGCCGAACCCGTTAGTCTGTGTAACTCATCGACGGTTGGTATGCATCYACTGGCAAAGACTGAGATTTTCTTCAACTTTGACCACGGAGTATTTGATATGTTACTGGCATTGTCCAGGCTACCTGATTATATTATGTACTTCATGACTGACCGACATACARGTTCACATACTATATATGATAACATACAATTAGGTATTCAAGTTCATGTGCAAGTTTTGGGAGATAACTTACTTGTCACTGTTCAAGTGTTATGTTCTAAATGTAATTTGTGCTCTTTAGTAACCATTGCTATTCACTATCTACCTACTTGCTGTTCTTTTGCCTTGAATTTTTGTGCCTAACTAATGAGTCAATTAGTTCTAATTGTAGGATTTCCTAAACCTGTTTCATTATTTCATCTACCTAGGTATGAGCTAAGAGCTTGCTAAACTCATAGTAGGTACCTAAGTACTTAATTTATACATAACATAAACTTGAATGTTTAGAAATTAATAATTTAAACTGGTGCCTGTATATCGAGGTAATTTTTGATTGCTTTAAACTGGCAGTTTTGGTTGTACTTATAGGTACACCCATTGCCTACCTGCCTCTTAATGTACAGTACTATGAACCTACCTGACTATAATATTATGAATACTTAGGTACTTATCTAGATTTTACTTATTACCATAGAAATAGTTACATTTTGATCTAATTGTGTGTTCCATTGTACCTACCTACCTAATTTATTAAATACGCAATCTAAACTTATATCTTGTATCTTGGATTCTATGGTTATGACTGGAGTTTATATTTTTAATATTACCTCCGAGTACTTAATAATATATCTACCTAATACCTGTATATTAGGATACTTTGTCATTAGTTGTTAGACAACTTAATATGTCCCTTTAACATTTCTTTTACTATTCTTTTACCACTTGTGAGTGAAATTATCCATATGACCCATTGACTTCACAAAGTAATATAATTAAAATGATATTATTATTCAAATATTTTTATGATAAATACTTAACATTTTTTATGAGTTAGTTATTACTAAGTAATTATTAGTAATTAGTCGGTTCTTAATATATTTTATGATAATTGTTATATACCTAATAATCATACTACAGATTTAATTACTTGCTTATAATACATTTTAAATTACTTTATATTAATTTTTATAATGTATAACTATAACAAT